AGGAATGATTTCTTTAGCTCTGTGAGGTATGTTGGTAGTAGTTTGATAGGGGTTGCATTAAATCTGTACAACTATTTTGGGAGTGTGTCCATCTTCACCATGTTGGTTCTTCCTATTCATGAGCAGGGAATATCTTTCCATTTTCTGAAATCCTCTATGATCTCTTTTTTCTCTAATTTCCCTCTCAGTGTGTTTGTTATGTCTGTTGAGGAATGCTACTGACTGTTTTGGTATTGATTTTGTATCCTGCTATGCTACTGAATTTGTGTATTAATTCTAGTAGCTTCTTGGTGGAGCTTTTTGGGTCTTCCAAGTAAAGTATCATGTCATCTGCAAATAATGATAGTTTAACTTCTTCTTTACCTATTCTTATTCCTTTTATTTCTGTCCCCTGTCTAATGACTCAAGCTAATGATTCCAGAACTATATTGAATAGGAGAGGAGATAGAAGAGATCTTTGTCTCGTACCAGATCTGAGAGTAAAAGTTTTCAGTTTTTCCCATTTAGAATAGTATTAGCCGTTGTTTTGTCTTAGATGGCTTTTATCAGATTGAGGTAGAGGCCATCTATTCCAATTTTCTGTAGGACCTTGAACATGAATGAGTGTTGGACTTTGTCAAAAGCCTTTCTGCATCAATATAAATAATCATGTGTTTTTTGGATTTGGCTATCTTGATATAGTGTCTTACATTTATAGATTTGCATATATTGAATCATTCTTGCATCCCTTGGATGAATCCTATCTGGTCGTGGTGTGTAATCTTGATGATTTGCAGTGTTCCATTTGCTAGGATTTTATTGATGGTTTTTGCATCTATATTCATGAGGGAGATTAGCCTGTAGTACTCTTTTTTAGTTGCATATTTCTCTGGCTTTTTATCAGTATAATACTTGCCTCCAGGAATGATTTCTGGAGAATTGTTTCATTTTCAGTTTCATTGAAGAGTTTCAGCAGTTTTGGGATTATAAATTTCTTTTATAATTCTACTGTGAATTCTACAATTGTTAAGGTCAATTAAACTGTGAATCCATCAAGACCTGGACTTTTCTTTGTCAATAAGTTTTTTATTATATTTGTTTGCTATTGGCTGTTATTGGGTAATTAAGAATTCTTGTATCTTCTTGATTCAGTTTTGGTAATTTGTACCTTTCTAGGAATCTGTTATTTACTTCTGTGTCTTCTATTTTGTTAGAGTAAAGATTCTCAAAGTAGCTATTGATGATCTTCTGAATTTCCACTGGATCTGTGGTAATTTCACCCTTTGCATTCCTTATTGCTCGTATTTGAGTTTTTTCTTTCCTCTTTTTGATGAGGTTACCTAAGGGCTTATCAGTTTTATTTAGTCTTTCAAAGAACTAGTTTTTTGATTCGTTAATTCTTTCAATTGTTTTCTTCATCTTGGTTGAAGTAATTTCTTCTCTAATGTTTTTTGTTTGTTTGTTTGTTTTTTGCGTAACCGGGGATTGAACTCAGTCCGTTGCGCTTGCCAGGGAAGCACTTATTCAACTGAGCCATCTCCCCAGCTCCTTCTCTAATTTTTATTATTTTCTTTTGTCTTTTGGCTTTGCATTTGGTTTGTTCTTTTTCTAGACATTTGAGTTCCAGTATTAGGTTATCTATTTGTTCGTATTCTGTTTTCCTCATGTGTGAGTTCACAGCTATAAATTTCCCTTTCAGAACTATTTTCATTGCCCCCTATGAATTCTGGTAATTTGTGCTTGAATTTTCATTGAATTGTAGATATTGTTTAATTTGTTATTTAATTTCATCTGTGACCCATTAGTTGCTGAGGAGGGTTTTGTTCAATTTCCATGTATTTATGGGATTTTCCTGGTTTCTTTTGTCATTTATTCCCAGTTTCATTGTACTGTGGTCAGATAATATGCATGGGAGAATTTCTGTTTTCTTACGTATACTTAACCATGAGCTATGGACTGGTATGTGGTCTATTTTAGATAATGTCCTATGTGCAGCTTAAAAAAAAACATGTATTGAGTTGTGGTTGGGTGGAACACTCTGTATATGTCCACTAAGTCCATTTGTTCCAAGCCCTGGTTCAGTTCTGCTACTTCTTTTCTAATTTTTTGTCTGGTTGCCCTATCTTTTTGGGATCAGAGGGTGTTAAGTTGTCCTGTTAAGATTGTGTTATTGGATATTAAATTTTTCATGTCTATTAAGATTTATCTTACATAGTTGGGTGCTCCCCCAACTATTTCTGATCTGAGTTTCTCTATACCTTTCTGCGGTTGTTTCTTTACTTCAGACTGTATTAATAGAAACACTTCAGCTATGTGATTCCCAATTTCTTCTGTGATTGTGTCTTCTTCTTTTGTTCTGAGTGGGCTCAGGGTGTGAACTTGCATTTTGTTCCTTCTCTTTGTCATTTTGTATAGTAATGTTCTCTGACCTTTGGGGTAGAGCTTTGGTGCAGTTATAACCTTAGCACCTACTGAAATTCTTACCCAAGAGATTATATTGTTCAGTCAGTTTTAGTTTTGCATTTCCAGAACTACAATTAGGAACACTAATAATGGGTAGTCATATTTGGCAGTTGACAAACTTTTGTAACTAATGGGTTTGTATTTTAGACAGTAAGAGCAAACATTATGTCTGTGCAGCTAAGCAGATATTAAATTGGGAATTTGTATTTAAGTTAGCTTCCCTATATTCTGTGTAATCCCCTCCCCTTGTTTTATGTGGGGTCTTCCAGGCAGACTCATTCACCAGGTTACCTCTTAACCCTCTGTAAATCAAGAGTAAAAAATAGAGGACACTTTCATAGATCTGGGTCCAGCAAAGTGCCTCAGCTTACCGATTCTGTATCTACCAACTTTGAACTTGTGCAGATGTATCTGGCTTTGGTTTGGCTTCTGTGCTCAGCTTCTTCCTGCTGCAGCTCATAGAGGTGAACCAGCTGTGACACTCTGGCAAGCTGTTCAGCTCCTGGATTAGCTGGGTGGGTCTAGCTCCTAGCCTCTCTGCAGGGAATTCTGCTGCAGGGTTCTACAGGAGGCCTAGCACAGGGCCTGGAATCTGGCTGGGGAGGGCTCTTGGTTGCGAGGAGTAGGCAGAAGTTCCCACACTCACATTTGGGCTGGAGTCTGGCTGGGGAGGGGTCTTGGATGCTGATGAGCAGGGGATAGACTCACACACACGCATGACCTGGGTTTCGGCTAGGGAGGTGTCTTATGTGCTAGGAGCAGGAAGATGGACCCACATTCACGCTGGGCCTACACATTGTTCATTTCAATGTTAAGAAATACAATTGATTTTTGTATGTTGTCATTGTATCCTATTGCTTTGCTCATTTATTTCTTTTATCCACTTTTGTGTTTGTGGAATCTAGCATTTTCTGTATTTGAGGTCTGAATATGTTTGTGTATGTAAATAATTTTACTTTTCCTTTTGAATTCATATCCCTTTTATTTCTTTTTGTTGTCTAGTTGCTCTGTCTGGACCCTCTAGTACTATATGAAATAGAAATGGTCATCTTTTTCTTTGTGCTGATCTGAGAGGCAAAGCTTTCAGCCTTTCATCATTGACTGTGGTGTTCATGGTTTATTTTTTATAAATGGCTTTAATTTTATAAAGGAAATTTCCTTTTATTCCTACTAGAATTTTATTTTATTTCATTATTATTTTTGTGATACTAGGAATTTAACTCAGGACCTTGCACTCACCCTGCAGGCACTTGTGCTACTGAGTTATATCCCTGACTCCACTAGAATGGTTTTGTAAAATCACAAAATGTAACTGAATTTTGTCAAATGTTTTTTCTGTATTGATTAAAATGATTATGTTTTTCCTCTTCATTCTAATGTGTTGTGTTACATGGATTTTGTTGTGTTGCATTTTGGGAATTAATCATATCTTTTTAATATGATTCAGATATTTTCTTTTATATAAGTGTTAGCAAAGGATATTGATCTGTAGCATTTTTATTTTTTAATCTTGTCTTTAACTCATTACAGTGCCTTTACATTTAGTGTCAGAGTCATCTTGGCCCTATAGAATGAGTTAAGTGTTCTGTCTGCTTTAATCTTTGGAAAACTTTTGAGAAAGATTAGTGTTATAAACAACATATAAAAGGAATGTCCATGGACAAATTCAATAGGGCATATTATTGTATAGTTTTTATTGGATAGTAAGTGATCTTCCAAATTTTCAGTAAAATTAGCTTCTAAAAACTAGAAGTTTAACAAGGTACTTAGCTGCATCTTTGAAACTGCTGGTAGGCAGTTCCTTGTTCTTTTACTTATATAGATCTTCATAACTACAGAATTAACAAGGGTGTACTTCTACACATCTCCATAAAATTTCCTTTTTTCTTTTCAGATTTTTGAGATAGAGTCTTGTTATATGTTTAAAATTGGCTTTGACCCCACCGTGTAACTCAGGATGGCCTCAGACTCCTTGCGTTCCTCCTGCCTCGGCCTTAGAGATGTGTACCACCATACCTGGCTTAAATTTTTTTAGGACAGATTCAACACATAATGTTAAAGCTATTGCTTCTACATTTGCAGATGTGACTAAAGAAGTAGTTCTTCAGTGTCTGTAGCCAGCTTTGGGAGTGCCCTTGCCTTTATTTTGTTATACACATTTATCATATAGTTTCAAAATCTATATTAAAGGCTCAAAGAAAAAAAGAATGGGTAGTTGCACAGGAGAAAAGAATGGAGAATGGGGACGTATTCTGGAAGATGAAATTGTGCTTCTTTGCTAGCTTCCTTGTGATCCAGGACACAATGCTAAAGTTGATGGGGCTGCACTCACAAAACTTGTAAAAATCTTTGTTAACAGGTTTTGACAACAGCAGAATCCATTTGTATTTTCTATAAAAATACATTAATTATGCCTGTTAGGAGCTTAACAACATCTGTCTTTTACTTATTCATCAATTTGTACCTTTTCTCAAAATGTGAAAAAGAAGTTATAGAAAAGAAGTCAAGAGAAGATAAGAAATATTTCAGTTAAATCATATTATTTGTTGTTTACACAGGATCTGTGGCTGTGGTTCAGGAGAATCCGGTTGTGCTGTATGTGGGTGCTGCAAGGCTTGTGCAAGAGAGTTGGATGGACAAGAAGCAAGACAAAGAGGGATTCTTGATGCAGTTAAAGAAATGATACCTTTAGATCTTCTTTTAGGTAACATGCTGAATACAGAATTTCTTCTGATAGCTTAGTCAGTTTCTCCTAGATAAGTTAAAAACTATGGTAACATTTAACATACGCAATATTGTTCTTTTGACAACTGGCCATATGAAATTAATTAATGGTTGAGATTCTTTTTAAGAATTCTTGCAGTAAGAATAATTTTTGACTTAGATAATGCTATTGCTTGCCTTCACTTTAATTTTGTGTGGAGTTACAGTTACTATATAACACAAGTTGCTTTATTGTTACTTTGATCAATAATCTAGCTGTACCAGTACCTGGTGTTAATATTGAAGAACATCTTCAGTTACGACAAGAAGAAAAACGGCAACGTGTAATAAGACGACACAGATTAGAGGAAGGAAGAGGTAAGTTGTAATTATAGAGAAAAGTATAAGTAAACCTTACATAGAGATGAAAAATTAACAGAATAGGCTGATTCGATAAGAAACCATTAAAATTAGTAACAATCTGGTAAGTCATAAAAATATTTAGGGCATTGATAGTGTGCCAACAACATATACTTTAATTCATAAGTCAGTCATATTAAGAATTGCGCTGCCAGTCAGTAACTATTTAGTAATAACAATTTTAAAAAATTTAAATGCTAAGAGTTTGTCATCCATCCAAGCTTTGGGTATATCTATTTTGTATGTAGGAAAATTGCATATATTTCATAGAAAATATTGTATAATTTAAGTTTTGGATGGTTGCAACATATGGAAGAGATAATTCCTTTTATATTAATGATTTTTTTCATAAGTTTATTAATATTATGTCTGTGCTACCTGGTTTTCTATCCCCTTTGGAAATAACTAGATTCAGTCAAATGAACTTAACTTACAAAATCCAGCAGTTTATTACATTTTAGTCAAAGTATAGTAAATCTTTATGGTGACATTTAATTACTTGGAAGAGGTTGTATAACTTATTACTCTTCCTTTTTGAAAAAGCCATTCTGTAGTTGTAATACATGTCAGCAGATCGGAAGTAAAGAGACACTAAATTATATATTATAGTTTAACAAATCTTGGTGATTACAGTATATGATTTTACCATTTATTATAAAAAAGTATCATTATAAGTTCTATTTAACAGTTAAAAGTCTTCTACTTGTTAAATATTTAAAGGATTATATTATTTTATTTTGTATGATTTTTCAAATACAGACTTAGGTTCTAGTTAGGTGGTATGTATTTTATGACCAGTTATGTTTTCTCCACAGTCCTAAATACGTAATAATGTTGAAATATAAATACATAATCTGGATTTTTGGTTCACAGAGACTTTGTCTCATCTTCATGTTTTTGATGAACTTTTTTTCACCCTCTTTCAAGATTTTAAAACATACATGTATTAAATTCCTTTTCTTGTGAATTGGAATCTTCACTATTAACCTCAATTATGGTAGTTCTTCTTTTGCACAGTACTGACAGTAACTGAAATTGGTGCATTTTTAGTCTGGCCTTCTGTTTGCGGTCACCATAGTTACTATAGCATCATGGAAAGGGAGTACTTAGTTCTCACACATGTGTTTCAGTTAACACAGGACTATGCAAAGCTAATGCCTGCCTGTATATTTTATTTTATAAAAATATTGGAGCCAGGGAGATGGCTCAGTAGAGGGCCTGAGTTCAATCCCCAGTTCTGGAAAAAAAATTAAACTTCAGGCTGAGACAGGAGGATTAGAAGCTCAAGCTTAGTCTTCACTCAAACGTTTGATCTTCCTGCCTAAAGTCTCTAATAAATGTACTGCAATTTCAGGCCTGCATTACCACACACAGCCAGAAAACAAATTTTTATAAGCAAAATTGAATGTTCAGAGATACCATCCTGCTTGCATAACAAAATAAATTGACAAGTCATTTTTTTTTCCTGAAAATAGATTTTATTTTTATTTTCTTCTAAAATGCTTTTAAAAAATATTTCCCAGAAGGCATGCTATTTTATAAAAAGAAATAGAGAAAAAATGTTATGTTTTAAAATATAAGCCACTGTTGCTTACAAATAATTGTTAAGATATTTTCACTTTATCTTTGTGTTTTAACAAATGTTTTTATTGAAATAAGAATCCCTTTCAGGAGCTGTATTTTTATTAGTTTAGGACAGTGGTTCCCAAAAGGAGCAGTAAGTATCATATGGGTACTTGTTAGAAATACCAGTTCCGATCTGCATCTTGGGCTTAGGGCCTAGCAAATTATGCTTTAAAATTTCAGGTGATTTTGATGTTATGACGTATAAGAACCAGTGCTATAGATAGGTCATTGTTTACATTCGGTCCTTTTGACCTATAGCAGAATCACTGGATCACATTTCTGTGTGATTTGACTTACCCAGAAATGCCCAGAAAATGTATATAACCCAGAAAATAGATTTAACTCTCATGCAGTATTCTAGAACTATTCTCTGGATCTGTGCTATTGAAAATGTTAGTCTTTGTTTTGATGAGGAGTGGTAATATTAAATTTTAACATTCCAGCTGCTACATATAATTATCTTTCTTCTTAGCCCTGCTTAGTACTTCTTTTAAAAGACAAAACTTGGTCATTACAGGATATTATTTTGCCATTTATTTTAAAAAGTGTCATAAGCTTTAAAACATTAATTATAAGTTCCCATTTTAAAGTTTTTAGGACTGTATTAGTAATTATGTTCATTACAAATAGGCTTTTAACTTTGTTAAGGTTGTAAGACTCTAGAATCGAATTATGTGAAACTTACTTAAGACTTCTCTCATTGTACTTACCAAATCTTTGTTACTTTTTTTTTTTTTTAAGTTGGTGTTTTAGATCTAAGCTCTTACAATAAAGCCTCTTGTATTGGTCAACTTTTTCATTGCTGCTACAAGACATCCAACACTTGTAGTTTAAAGGAGAGGTTCAGTTTGGCCCACAGTTTCAGAGGGTTTAGTCCATAGTTGGCTGATGCCCAGGAACAAGCATGGTGGAAGAGTATAGTGGAAGATGCTCCTCAGTGTACTGTGGCTGGGAAGCAGAGCAGGGGAGCAGTGCCAACATGGGAGGGGCCAGGGGTCAGTTTATAGACCTCAAAGGTCATGCAGCTGTGACAGTAGGATACTTTACAGAAACTAGCTTATCAATCCTCTCCCAAGGGGAGCTTCCAAACCAGTGAGATTGACACATTTCACTGTCACATTCTGTCCTTTTTCATTGACACCTCAACACATCACTTTAATTGTACTCAATCTCCAAATAAAAATAAGCTCATAATTCCCTCTAACATGATACTCCTCTCTCATTGCTGGGACAAATACCAGACATTCAAGCTTAGAGAAGGCAAGGTTTACTTAGTTCACAAGCTCACAGTTACTGTAGGTTTCATAGCTTAACGCAGCCTGAACTACATAGCAAGACCTCGAAACACTGCCATGCAATGCTTCAGGGTCTGGAAGGAGGCTGGGGTGCCTCCGTGTCCAGGATGATCTGCTTCATACCTCCCAAGAGTGGTCACCAGGCCTGGGGGCGGGGGGTGTGGGAGGCTCATGCTGTCAGTTTAATGGTTCTGTCTTTTGGCCCCACCCCTAAAGCCCCACGCTGGCCCTCTGGCCCTGCCTCTTGAGCCACGAGCTGCTCCTTGAGCTGTGACTGCTCCATGATTTACATGAGGCTTTAGGGGACAATTATATACAAACTAAAACACATTATATATCCTGTGTTAAACTGTGTAAAACTGAAAGCACACTAATGCCCTCTCCAAAGTCTCAACAGTTCCAGCATTGCTCAGAATTATAAGTAAAAGTCTATTCTGACACAAGACACACACTTAGCTGTGAGCCTATGTAAATTAAAAAGCAGTTAGTGTATTCTCAATATACAGTGGTAAGGTAAACATTCCCATTCCAAAAAGGAGTGATAGAGAATATAGGAAAGGATCACACGAGAGAAAGACCAAAACTCAGCAGAACAAACATTAAGTCCTATAGCCCCATGTTTAGCCATCTTGTGCATATGGTAAGAAAAGAGTCCTGGGTTTGCTCAGTTTTACATCTGTAGGCTTGCTTATGCAGACCACACTGCTTTTCTCTTGGTCTGCCTACACTTGTGGCCAAGAAATATTCTACTTTTCTATCATTTTTGACTTCCTTGGTCTCCTTTGCGCCTTTGGCTTTGTTCCCTTAGCTTTAGGCACCTGCCTTGCTGGCTTCCCAGGCTTTGTCTTGAAATCCATGTAGAAGCCTTCATGGTGGCACAGGTTTTGCATTTTGCATGTCCAAACAGCAAGCATTACATGGATATTGCCAAGGTTTCCTCCTACTTCGAATAGTAGTCAAGCCCTTTTGGACCATGAGTACCTAAATGGCTCAGTTTGGTGAAATGAATCCAAGGTAACTGATTTTCTATGTGGTCCCTCTTGAGTAGTGGACCAAGAGTTTCTCTTCTCTAAAGAAAGGCTTAGACTTTTGTACCCTTGAGACTGCAATGTGTAAAACCTTACTGATTCTTGCAGTGCCTCTAAGACATCTGTATCACTACAAAGTGCTTATTGTCTTTTTAATCGTGCAGGTATCTTCAGCAACCACCTCTCCATTGGCTCTAATTTTACATGGTTCTTTTTGGGACAGAATTTGAGGTTTTCAAATATTTCTGCTGTGCTTTTTGCTTCTCATTCTTATTACCTATCTAATTAAAAGTAGCCAGAAGTACCCAGTCATAACCTAAATATCAGGGTGCCTTGACAGTTCCTCCACCAAGTCAGTTAGTCACCACCCTTAAATGCAGCCTTCCATACTCTCAGGATGTGGGCAGAAAGTAGATTCTTTACCAGAATATAATGCATATGGCCTCTTGTTTCATTTTCAGAAGAGTTCTCATTCTCTTGTAAGCTTCATGAGTCTGGCCTCTGCTATCTGTATTCCTGTCACCATTTGCTTCTTCTGAGCTCTGATCACAATATCTATCAAGTTCTACTTACATTTTGGGGCTTCTTTAGCTTGCTTCTCCAAACTTCCAAACTCCTCTTGCAGATGAGTTCCAAAGGCTTCTGAACTATGTGGTTAGGGATAATCACAGGACTTCTGCGGTGCCAGTCTGCAGTATTGCTTAACTTTCCTACTACTAAAATAAAAAAAAAAAAAAATGACACCAGCACTCAAAGGAAGAGAGCTTTCCTATAACTCTGGTGGAAGGGCATGGTAGAGCTTAACATTTGGGAGTGATTAGGAAGCAGAAGAGGGAAACAGTGCCAGAGAGAAAGGAGTCAGTGACTGGATTAGAGCCACAAGATCATAGCTCCATGACTTATCCAGACATACCCAGAAGTGTACTATACTATTCCCTTACGTGACTGTAAAGCTGTACCAGTCTAACTGGTATTATTTAACTACTATTTGTTACGCTACTATTTGTTA